TTGTTTGGTGACTCCTCAGATTTGAAGAAGTCCTTTGGATGAAGGACGAAACGTCTCAGGAAAAAAATAATAATAAAGAAAGAAACCGTCCACGTGGCTTGATTGAACATTGTTGGATTTTACCTGGATTATTGAGCATGAACTTTGGTGTTTACATTTAACAGATTTTTTTAATTGCAATAATTTGTTATTTTACCTTTATAATTTTAAATTTATCTACTTTTGTTCAAATCTTTAAATAATATATTCTGGAGAAGGAAAAAAACATTGAAGGTAAAAAAAAAAAAAAGTGCAATACTGAAACAAGAATTTTACAATAAGGGCAAAAATATTAATTTTTGTCTGAAAAACTAAGATTTACTGCATTTTCTGTCACAGCAAAGTAATGATGTTCACCATAAATATAAAAATACAGTAGATAAAAGATGAGCCATCAAAACAGAACATCAAACCAAAACCAACCTGGTCCTCCTGGAAAAACTCAAATAATGCTGAAAATAATCCAAAGCTGCAGGCGCTGCTGCTGCATTCTGTTTCTAAATGTCCAATTACAAAACAACAAGCAAGTCCTATGAAAGAAGAACTACATCTCCAACCTGTTCAGCAACATACAGTGCTGTGAAAAAGTTTTTCCTGGTTTAGCTTTTTGTCACACTTCAAAGTTTCAGATCTTCAAACAAATGTTAAGACAACCCAAATAATAACTATCCAAACCAACATGGCCCCTTGGGAAAAAAGTAATCACCACCCTTGTTAAATCGCACTTTAACTGTTATTAACCACTTTTTTTTTTACCTGAATTTAATTCCACAAGCTACACGCTGATCCCTGTCAGACCTGCAGAATGAATAAATTACTTAAACAGACCTATTATCTACAAAATGGAGAAAACATGAAACCGTGGTGAACCTTCCTAAAGAATGGCCAAACAAATTTACTCCAAAAGCACGACTCATCCACGAGGATTTAGAATAACATTTAGCACAAGCCTAACGCCTCAGATAAGGTCAGAGTTCATGTTTCAACAATAAGAAAAAGACAAAGAATTAAAAAAATGGACCGCTGACCAAACAGAATACATTGGCCCGTCTCACATGTTCCCCAAAACATTTCTATAATCCCAAAAGCCTTTTTGAAAAATATTCTGTGGACTAAAGAGAAAAAAGTGGATCTTGTTTGAAGGTGTTCATCCCATTATATCTGGTGTAAAACTAGCACTGCATTAAAAAAAAAAAAGAATTAAAAAAACATCATACTGACATTCAAACATGGGGGTGGTAGTGTGATGATCTGGGGCTGCTTTGTCTTTTCTGAATGACTTGATCTGAAAAACTGAACCATGAATCCTGCTCTCTACCAGAAAATCCTGAATGTCTGAAAATCAGTTTGTCACTTGGATTCTACAGCAAGACAATGACTCGAAGCACAGCAGAACATGTGAAAGACTAAAAATAAGTTCTCACAAACGCCACCAAGAACCTGTAGTTAGATTTAGAAAGCAATTGTTGTTGTTGTTGTTGTTGTTGTTTTTACATAGAATCAAGCTGATTTGGATACAGAAACCTTTTTCAAAATTAAATAATTATTTATAAATCTCCATTTTGCTAGAGATGTCGTCTCTCAGCGTGAAGGTCGCCAGATCAAATCTCAGCAGAGGACGTTTCTGGGTGGAGTTTGCATGTTCTCTCCGTGCTATGTGTGTTTACTCCGAGTGATCCAGTTTCCTCCCACCGATCAAAAACATACGTTAGACTGATTGTCCCTAGGTGAGAGTGAGAGAGTGAATGGTTCTTTGTCTTGTTTGTCTCTTTGTGTCCCTGTGATGGACTGGAGACATATCCAGAGTGTCCTCCACCTCTTGTGCAGTGACTGCTGGATATTGGCACCAGTGACCCCCTACAACCCGAAAAGGAAGAAGTGAAGTAGTAAAGATAATGGATGGATGGATTTTGTATTTATTCAGGTTATCTTTGTCTGACATGAACTTTTTTAGATGATCTGAAACATGTAGATTTCGGAAGATAAAAAAAGGTCTTCTTCTTCTTCTTTCGGCTTTTCCCTCTTCAGGGGTCACCACAGCAAGTCATCCTCCTCCATCTCTGTCCTCTGCATCCTCTGTCCTCACTCCAAATACTTCCATGTCCTCTCTAACTGCATCCATATATCTCCTCTTTGTCTTTTTCCTGGCAGCTGTATTTCTAACGTCCTTCTACCAATATACCCACTGTCCCTCCTCTGGACACGTCCAAACCATCTCAGTCTCTAACTTTATCTCCCGGTTGTTCAACCTGTGCTGTACCTTTGATGATCTCATTCCTAATCTTATCCATCCTTGTCACATCTAAAGAGAACCTCAACATCTTCATTTCTGTCTTTTTGTCCATGGCTCTGTCTCCAGACCATACAACACAGCTGGTCTCACAACTGTCTTGTAAACTTTTCCTTTGACCTTTGCTGACACCTTTTTGTCACAAATAACTCCTGAAACTGGAAACCTCTAACTAATAACAACTAACCTCTAGAATTGTGCTGCTCAGAGTGGCTGTATGTTGGAACAGCTCTGTTACTTTCATTCTGAGATTTTACTTTTGGAATCTTTAATTCCTCTGTTTATGGATGTAAATAACTTTTTTTGGATGATCGTTTCATCTGATATCAGATGCTGTGCAGCTGAATGGATTTTTACTGAAACTTTTTTAGTTTTTGGACGTTTGTTATGATGCGTAACCATAACAACAAGGTGTTTTTTTTACAATTGCAAGCAGCTGATTAAAATTTCAAAAGCTCAAATAATATCTCAGCTACAGCCCCAAATCTCAAATGAGTTGAAAGTGAGATGCCGTAGATGCATCTCTGTCTACCTGCTGGCTGTGCGCAAGTGTCTGACCACTGAGATCCTGGAAATGGCAGGAAACACAGCTCGTGACAGCAGAAGGACCAGGATCATCCCTTGGCACCTGCAGCCGACTGTTCGCAGTGACGAGGAGCTCAGCAGACTGCTGGGAGGAGTGACAAGTGCTCAGGGAGGAGTTCTGCCCGGCATTCTGGCGGTCCTGCAGCCCGGAGGAACCGAGAGGCCAGCAGAGTCTGGGTAGATGGATCGGATGGCATCTGTGGCCAGTTTCTTTGGATCCACTGTGGGATGGACCTTTACAAGAGATCCTTTTTGTCTACAGCCATCAGTATCTATAACATCTCTTAATGAAATGAGGATAACAAGTTATAGCATTTAATTTTCCTTTGGGATCAACAAAGTATTTTTGAATTGAATTTGAATTGAATTGAAAATTTTCTCCATCCACTCCATCCTGCCTGGACTCTCTTTTTCACCTCTTTACCACACTCCCCATTTTCCTGGACAGTGGACCCCAAGAACTAGAAGTCCTGCACCTATGTGACCTCTGCTTCTCATAGCCTCACTGTTCCACTGGCCTCACTCTCATTCACACACATGTACTCTGTCTTGTTACAGCTGACTTTCATTCCTCTTCTTTCAAGTGTATACCTCCACCTTTCTAAGTTATCTTCCACCTGTTCCCACCACAGATCATAATGTCATCTGCAAACATCATAGTCCACGGGGATTCCTGCCTGACCTCATCTGTTAGTCGGTCCATCACCAATGCAAACAAGAAGGGGCTCAGAGCCGATCCTTGATGCACTCCCACTTCCACCTTGAAGCTATTGGTCACTCCTACAGCACATCTCACCACTGTCCTGCTGTCCTCGTACATGTCCTGTACCAGTCTAGCATACTCCTCTACCTCTCCAGATTTCCTCTTCTACACAGGATGTAGTCGACCTGCGTACTCCTGCCTCCATGCTTATAAGTCACTCTATGTTCCTTCCTCCTTTGGAAATAGCTGTGGAAAAACATGTCAGGGGCAAAACATGTTCACAGAGATGTATTTTATTTCTTGAATCTTAATCTGGAAAATTATCACAGTCCGAGGCAAATGAAAATTACAGAAACTGGACACAAAACGACATATGGAATTTCAATTGACTCCAAACACCAGACCTATGTGGTTTCTGGTAGTTTTTGCTTCTTCCATTCAGAAAATCTTCCACTTGTTGTGAACACCAGAAAACACTTGGTGTGACAAACACAAAGCATTTTTTAAATTCAAACTTTTTTATACAGGATAGCCTCATTGAGCCACCAGGGCTCAATTACAAAAGGGACCTGTTCCAGACAGAACATATAAAGTACAGACAAGCATGGGCACCTGTGTAGATTTTAGAGCAGCTAAGAGCCTGATATCACCCCATGGAGGGTCAAACATGTCACCATCCAAGCAGTAAATGCAACAGATCCTCCTGTGAGCTCAGACAGAAGGTTTTTCTCTCCATCTATTCAGAGACAAGGCTCTGAAAATCAAAACCAGGTCCAGTTTTAGACCTGCAGCTCTGCTTTCAGGGGCTGCTAGGTGCCACAGAGATCAGCCTGACAAGGCTTGAATCAGTCACTGACAATAGTTAGTGTGCAAAAGCCACTTTTAAAAACATAATCAATGAGAAACTGAAACATTCAAAGCAACAAGTCACAGTTTTAATAAACTGATTCTGACCCAGATTGAACAAAAGTGCAATTTATTTTTTGGCGTTTTCTCGTTTTTGCTTCTCTCCACTTTTATGAAGATCAAGGTTTTTCTAAAACTTTCAAGAAAAGCAGCAGCGTAAACATCAACATAACTTGACAAGATCAATACACATCCATAAGAAGCATGCTTAGGGTGTCTTTACTTGTGACAAAGAGGATATTTGGGATGAACAGATCCACAATAAAAGAAAAATGACAACAACTGAAGCAGGAATATCCTTGAACTCTCCAGCCACCAGAATGTACAGTATTTCTTTAAATAAATATTCTCCCATTTCTGTTTCATTAAAATCTATCAAGTTCACACGTGCAGACAGAATCCCAAGCCTTATGGGTAAGGTACTTAAAAAAAATACCTGCAGCCAGAACAGGAAACAGTTTTCCACCAGTTTCTTACCCTGGAGATGGTCAGAGGCATGTTGAAGTCCTTCCCCCCCTGCAGCCTGAAGCCCCAGGGCCCGGGGCCCGGCAGAGTCACAGTGTAGGCACTCATTCTTCAGCGCAACTGAAAAGGATCCTCCAAACTCACAGCAGGTCTCTGACTGACACCCTCACAGTGATGGAGCGACGGGACGAGAGGCTCTGAAAGAGGACAGAGTAAAATGAGGAGAAAGAATAAAAAAAACACACACACCCTGAAATGAAAGAAGAAGAACCTGCCTGCTCGCAGCTGAAGTGACAGCCTAAGAATAGACAGAGATAGCACTGTAAAATTGTGGGAGGGGGAGAATGGGGGGTGAGGAAGGAGGGGGGGTGGACTTATATGGCGTGAAAGGGGACACCTGGTATGCCAGGCATTGCCGTGATTCACCATGTTAATATAGACCCAGCAGATTCTTCCAGACCCCTCCACCCCCCCACCACCCTCATCTCATCCTGCAGCGCACAGGGTCTTTCTTAGGCCCAATCAGAAGCAGCGCCAGGAAACGTCTCGTTATCTCAGTGGTGATAAAGCCCCAACCTAAAGGCCACGAGCTGTGAGCGTCTGATAGCTGAAAGGTCAGTAGCAGCAGCAAGCAACACATCAGGCTGCAAACCTGAACCATCCGTCATTTTACATCCAAACCACACAGAGACAAAACTTTATTCACCCAGCAGGAAACATAAAGCTCCAAAGATTTCCATTTTTACATAAATCAAACACTTCAAACAGGATAAACAGATATTTTTCTTCTTTTATGTTGGCAAATGGAATATGACACAAGAAAATATCTTTTTTAATTTTTTTTTATAAAAGTGCCCTAACCCATCTAAAGATAAAAGAATATATCAACTTAGAGCTCAACTACGATGTAGAAAGGACGGGCATGCCACGTTAAGGAGCAAATCATCCAGTTTTAGTAAGTTCACTTAAAGGCCACTGGACTTATTTTTGTCTTGTGAAGATGTTTCTCTTCTCATCTGAAGAGTTTCTCAGTTCAAACAGAAAAGTATGTCATTCAAAGTTTTAAACTGCAGTGAGGAGTCTGTTCAAGTTGAACCCACATTTAAATCACTCACTCACCCCTTCCTTCTTGATGGTTGTCCTAAAGTGGTATCTCACTGGGCTGTGACTGTTGGGGACTGGCTGGAAACACAAATGGTAAATGGACTGAATTTATACAGCACTTTTCTTTCTTATCAAGATACTCAACGCTCTTTACAACACCATCTGTGCTCTCATTTACCCATTCATACAGCACTCTACTATATTTATAAACAGAATAATCAGTGCTTTAAATCATGTTCATACCCCGATGGGACACACACTGCACACAATGAGGGGTTCAGTGTCTTGCAAAGGGACACTTCAGCATATGACTGCTGGTGGAATCAAACCCAAAACTCTTGTATTGGAGGACAGCTGTTCTAACCACCCAGCCACAGCTGCAGTGTTCTTTGAGTTTCTTGTTCAAGTTCAGAAGAAGTTGGTTTTCAAAGTTTTTTTAGTTCAATCTGGCTCTTTTGGGAGAGAGAGTCTGTCCTTCTGTACTGAACAGTCTTTCAATAAGGCCATGGGTGGAGAATATCTTCTGGCTGACTCTCTTGCGGTGGAATACATTTTGGGTGTGTTAGTGGTGCTGCAGGTGCACCCAGCTCAGTGACATATACTAGAATATATGTCATTGGTCCAGCTCTTCTTGAAGGTGGGCCTAACGTTACCTGCCCACTTTGCAGTGATTCAATGGACCAGCTCCCCTCTCACCATTGGTTACTTTCAAACTAACGAACAAATCAAAAAGTCGCAACATGAATGTAACTTGTAATGCAACGCGTTATAGAAATGTAGTGTAGTAGAAAGTACAGACACTTGATGTAAAATGTAGTGGAGTAAAAGTATAAAGTACCCACATTTAACTCTGCTTAAGTAAAGTACAGATACATGAAAAATGTACTTAAGTACAGTAACAAAGTATTTGTACTTAGTTACATCCCACCACTGTATGTATTTATATATATAAATATAAATATATAAATACATATATATGAATATAAATACACATGTGTATATATACATACATATATAAATACATAA